TATATATATATATATATATATATATATATATATATATATATATATATATATATATATATATATACAGTATAGTATAATATGATATACCAGGGACATTGGACATAATTTAATATGTTTATAGTTCAAATTTTGCAACAAAAGGTGGAATTACAGTATTAAACATGCATGTGATAATTATTGTAAACAAAGTGACAAGTAAATTACTGTACATTTTAACGCCGCATACTTATAAATATTAAATAGTCAGTATAACATTGTAAAATAAGCTTAATACAAACAATATGCACTGAATATTATCAGAATAATTCTCAATATTGTTTCATGAAAGAGAGGCGATATATAAATACCTTGTCCCTAGGTTTCGGTCTGCGAATTTGTTCAGTCTTTTCTTAGCTTAGAAGTCAGACAAGCCCAGGATACAATAAAGCATGCAAGCTTTTAGTATTCGTCTTTATATGAACAGTGGTGACAAGTAACGAAGTAAATGTACTTCGTTACTTTACTTGAGTACTAATTTTGAGAAGTGAGCAAGTAACGAAGTAAATTTTTGACAGAGTACTTCTACTTGGAACGAAGTAAATTCAAAAAGTAACGTTTTACTTCGTTATTTTTATTTTGCGGTGAAGTATTCCGTTACTTTTATGGTATTATCAAATTTTAGGTCTATCTTTTACCTGATTCGGTGATTTCTAAAATGAATTTCGATTTTTAAACTCGACTCCAATCGCAATCAAATTTATAGTTATTTACACGAAGTACAGACAATTAATATATTCCGCTGAACACATGCGACAATACACGCGTTTCGCGCCAAATTATTGCGCCGAATTCACTGGCCCAATCATTGAACTCTACCCGAATTGCTTGGGCAGCCATGGCCGACAGTGATTTGCATATTGCAGACGAAGTCTTGAACGAAGGACAAGGACTAGAAGGTGTTAATACTATCGGTAAAAAAGGAGAAGAGGAGGAACATCCTTGGCCATTTTTGAAGTCAATGTTTCGCTACAATGGAAGAGTGGGAAGAGAGAACAAGAGCATCAAATTCATATGTTGCCTTTGCTCGCCACTTGTTAGAGAGATATCTGCGTTCATTTCGTCGCCTTCAAACCTAAGAAAACATGTACAGGTAAGCTGTTTTATGACTTTGTCTGTTTGGTAATGGTAGGGTTCTAAAAACTTGAAATTGCCACCCGGGAATTCATCGGATGTAGTGTAGTGCAGTTGACAAATACATTTCTATACAAATAATCATGTAAAATATCTAAATATGTTCCTCACCGGAGGGTGCGGATAGAAATTGGAATAGCCCAATGTGCGGTTACGTTAAATTTCAACGAAGTTTTAAGTTTTAAAAAGGAAACTAGGTTTGTGTTCAGGTCAATGTATGTATGTAATGTTTGTGTGTCATTGTGTGTGTTGGGGAGGGTGTGTGTGGAGGAGTGGAATATAAATGATATATTGCAAGAATGGTCCCCAGCTATAAATTTTAACTACCCTAAAACTCCGATTATAAGCCCTGGGCTTATATCAGTTTGTAAGTGTTTTTTTGATGAGCTTACACACAGGAAGGCGCTTATATTCGGGGGTGGGGCTTATACATGAACGACCAAGTATTTTTATTACTAATTATAGACCTGTATATTGGTTAAAAACTTATATAGTGGTTATAAACCTGTATATTTATTGTTAATTATATATCTGTTTAGTGGGCTTATATTGGAGGCGGGGCTTATATTAGGGGGGTGATTATTCTTGGAGTTGAACATTAGTAATGTGATGGGCTTATAGAAGGGGGGCTTATATTCGGGAGAAGGCTTATAATCGGAGGTTTACGGTAATTGGTATAGAAGTGTTACAACTAGCTGTTCTCCTAGATGTGACAAATAAAATTTTAGAACTTATTTGAAACTTGTGTTTTAATGGTTTAATATTAATTCCCAAAAAGGCTATTTCAAGGTGTCCAAATTGTAAATATTTAACCATTGCTTTACTTTTAATGTACTTGGATTGCAGAGGCAACATCCACATAATCTGAAGCGCTACACAGAACTGACCAGTTCGAAAAAAAGGCAAAAAAGGGCTAGGGAGTCAGAGCCATGTACATCAAGTAACCCACCAGCAAAGCAGTTACGTGTTTATGAGTGTAAAACCAACACAGTGTCGCAAAAAAAAGTGGACAGGCTTATACTAAATTTCATCACTGAGGGCTTGCAGCCTTTCAGTATTGTTGGCTTGTCTGCATTCAAAGAACTGGTGACCAGCCTTTCCCCTGGAAAGACGGTAATGTGTCGTGAAACTGTGAAAAATCGTCTGAAAATGTGTGCTACAGACATGAAGCACCACCTTTGTGAAACCTTCGAGTCTGTCATGACTGTCGCAACAACCACAGATTGTTGGTCAGCCAGGGGGAAATCGTACATTGGTGTCACTGCCCATTGGATCAACGCAGGTGACATGAAGAGAATTTCTGCAGCGTTAGCTTGTCAGCGGCTTAAAGGATCGCACACATTTGATGTCCTTGCAAGTGCCCTTGAAAACATCCACAATGACTATGGTATCGGAAACAAGATATGCAAGACCACCACAGACAATGGTTCTAATTTTATAAAGGCTTTCTCTTTATTTGGGACTGACAATGTCACAAACACTAATGAAATGGAGGTCAACAATGAGGATGACGAGGACGAGGTATCCGATGAATCAGATGATGTTATGTATCACAATATCACAAAGCATCTGGATGAAGACAGCGAACATGAAGATTACGACCTTCCCAGTCATCAGCGATGCGCTTGCGACACATTGCAGCTCATAGCAACAGGTGATGCAGACCAAGCTGAAGAAAATGCTACGTATAAGAAATTTTCTCGTTCAGCCTTCGCAAAGTGCCAGGCACTTTGGAATTTATCGTCACGATCAGTGCTTGCAGCTGAGGCTGTCCAATCGAAGTGTGGCATAGCATTGATCAAACCAAATAAAACGCGATGGAATTCGGTTTACCGGGCAGTTGAACGACTGGTTCGAATCATTAAGGAAAAAGGAGAAGAATCTCTTCAGTCACTGTGTAATGAGTTGAAACTACCAAGGTAATAGTTTGATTGCTGCTTTTGAATTTTGGATAAGCAGTCATGTACATTTAGGTTAGTACAGTTCAGGTGTAGTAATAATAAAGATAAATTTTTGAACAATTGTTTTCAACATTTCAGATTCAAAGCTGGTGAAATTCGCTTTCTTCAAGAGTATTACAAGTCCATGCAGCCTTTTGCCCAGGCATTGGACATCCTGCAAGCTGAAGACAAAGCTTACATGGGTTACCTCCTTCCCGTACTGTACATGCTGCAAGACAAGCTAAAAAAGAAACGAGATGAAATGGATACTTGCGCTCCTCTAATTGATGCATTGCAAGCCGGAATTACTCGTCGCTTTTCAGCAGTAATGCAGGAACCAGAAATGATCGCTGCTGCTATTCTCCATCCTAAATTCCGAAAAACGTGGACAAACGACACAACTGTTTTGGAGAAAGGTAATTAATATTTTTATTGCATACAAATCTTCCTCGGAAATGAAACCGTAAATTTCCTTGTCTATTTTAATTTTAGGCATGGTGTACATAAAGAGGAAATTAACCGAAATAGAATCTACGGAACGCACTACATCAGTAGAGTCAGCTAGTAGTGCGTCGGATGAAGGGGATGACGATGCTTTCTTTTTTCCACAAAAGAAGCAATCATCTTCTGGTCGTTCTGGACTACTACAGCTGGAGGAATACTTGTCTAGTCAGTCAACCGAGACATCTTCCATTACCACGTGGCCTCTCTTAAAAGATCTTTTCATCAAAACAAACACAGCTCTGCCTGCTAGTGCAGCGTGTGAGCGTTTGTTCAGTGCAGCAGGTCGTATTTTTACCCCATTGAGGTCACGTATCGGAGACCAGAACTTTGAAAATCAACTTTTATTGAAACTGAATAAGTCTTTCCTTCAAAATCAGCCATAGACTTGCCATAAAACATAGTGCACTCAGTGAAACTCTGATGACTAATAATTCGTTGATATTGTCAGAACTAGGAAAAACGTCCATGTTTTGTAAATAAAACTATAATATATACTGGCTATGTTGTAATTGCTGTGTGTGATCTCTCATTAGAAAAACGTATTTGCGTGTCATTGGTATTAAATTGCAACTTTGAAATCCCTTGTAGCCGTAGACACCGATCATAATCCCCCAGTAGTGCTTAATTAAAATTTAATAAAAAATTGAAAATCCCAAGAGGCCTGAAGGTAAAATTGCGGTATGTAACTATCGTATTGTTGGTGGTCTATTAGTCTAATCCAGAGTATCATTCCTCGATATACTCTATACAGTACTTGTACTTTTTACTTGTACTCAGGGGCGTAGGAAGCGGGGGGGCACGGGGGGCACGTGCCCCCCCAAATTTTTTTAAAGGACTAAAAGTGCCCTTTTTTGTGATAGAAAGTGCCCTTTTTGTGTTGAAAAGTGCCCTTTTTTGTGAGGAAAAGTGCCCCTTTTGTAGAAGCTAATGTCGCTGTAAATACTAAATTAAAACAATAGGTGCCGTTTTTGTGTGGAAATTTACAAATTTTTTTTAAAAATTAGGTCACAAACATAAATTGTGCCCCTACAAGCCGGTGCCCCCCCAAACTCCAGGTGCTTCCTACGCCCCTGCTTGTACTTAAGTATTTTTGAAAAATACTTTGTACTTTTTACTCAAGTACGTATTCTCTCCAGTACTTTTTACATTTACTCAAGTCGTTTTAATGCGAATTACTTCTACTTTTACTCAAGTATAAAATCAAAGTAATTTAGGCACCACTGGGAGGACGGCATTGCCACCGAAGCTACGAGGAAGAAAATCTCCAAGGATGATGCCGCAAACGATGATGCTGATGCCACCGCATTGTTCGGCGTGTTTGGAACAAAACAGAGAATCAAGGTCAACAAAATTCTTAAAGATCATGGGCTCTACGCCCCACATAACATGGCAAACGACCTACAATATGTGATTACCCTACCTGCAGCAGACGAAATCATGAGTGCACAAGGAGGAGAATCCGTAGAAGGATATACCTTGGAGAACATCGAATTGGAATATAAGTCCATCGATAATAATGACCTTGCAAGGAAAGCCGAGGGTTTGTATGGATCCGAACGAGAGCTATCCTTCGAACATACCACCCTGATGAAGAAATCCGAATGGGACAAAGACTCCACCATCATTAATGAGACAATCAATATACCACGCAGGAGCATGAAAGCCATCGTTATGTTATTCACAAACAAGACAAAACCTGACAGTGAAGAATATGTATACCCCAACATCGAAAAGGTCAAGGTAACCGTAGAGGGTGTTCCAAATTCAGTCTATAGCCAAGGTATCCCGAAAACAAGGCTATACGAGGAGGCAAGGCGACTGTTTGATACTGACGAAATCAGCCATCAGACACTAACCGGCTTCTTTAAAGACAAAAAATTCGCACTGGTCATCGATCTCAGAACCGCAAACGACGCCAACACATATGGAAACGGTGCTAAAATTCAGAACACCCGGTCTGGAATACTGGTGGAAATCACAAAGAAAGCTATAACTGCAAACGTTGTATGTTACATGTTCGTCCTTTCCGACGGTGTTATCAGGATCGCGAACGGGCAACTTGCTGGGGTAAAGTACTAGATTTTCTGGGAATCGTAGTTTTTCCATACTCAACAGAGTTCGGAAAATTTTTTATGCTTGATCATCAGTCTTCGGTCCTTCCTCCTCAGAAGGTGGTTGTTCAGGTGCTCTCCGATAGGCATGTTTCACTGTAGTCACTCCACCGCTAAAGATCCCTAGGCAGGGTACGTTTGGGGACAGCTTTCACACCACACTCTTAATATCACTCCTAAACGTACAGCTTATCCTGATTCAACCCCGTCCTCAGCTCCTTCCCACTATGCACCATGTTGATGGCTTCCATAAGGTTGGAAAATTTTTCAATCAGAGCTTCCGCCAACACGGCGTTTGCCTTTTCCCTCTGTGCAACGATGTAGTCCTTCCGAACTTTCATGATGACTTTTTCGGACGCTTTCCTGAGGTATTTTTCGAACTGAGTAATTTCCCCTGCATTGGACGGGCGGATAAGTTCTGCACTATAGTCCTTAATCCCCGTATTTTCTACGGTCGGTGGCTCCTGTTCCATCCCTTTTATTATAACACCGGAATTTTTACCTCGTGATTAAACGGATGTACCAGGTCCACTTCAAGATGAGCATACTTATTCTCCTTCAGCTTCTCCTTAATAGACCTCATTTCCGCATTGTCAACAAGAAGGTATTCATCCAGGATAATCTTCATGTCCTACCTATTTGGATTATAAAATGTTACTAATTTCGAAATATTCTGCCTGTACGGTTTAGCAATGGAGGTCAGCTGTTGGGTAATAACAATGGTGGAAATACTCATATGACGTGCGCTAAACCCAAGATCAACAAACTCCCCCGTAAGGTCCTTTACAGACTTAGTGCTGGCACAGTCATTCAAGATTCAATCTCGTTCCCCGAGCCTGCGATCCTCGGGAAGGTACGCGAGGCTCTGGGATAATCCGTTTCAGGGAGGAATCTGATTGGCCATTGAAATGGAATGCGTAGTTCAATCTTAGCCATGATTCTTGGCTTCCGGTAACGGATTATTCCAGAGCCTTCGATTCCTTCCCGAGGATCGCAGGCTCGGGGAACGAGATTGTTCAAGATGATGAGGGATTCCCTTCCCTTGGAGAAGTCCACTACAAATTTAAGGTAATCCTCCACGTCATCCTGCCGGCAGGGAATAACAAAGAAATTGTCTTCCTCATGAATGAAATCCTGATCATAGTCCTATTTCAGTGGGGACTAGCTAACAGTCGTGGGTCGTGGGTCGTGGGTAGAATGTCGTGGGTCGTGGGTAGAATGTCGTGGGTCGTGGGTAAAAAGGTCGTGGGTAAAAAGTCGTGGGTCGTGGGTAAAAAGTCGTGGGTCGTGGGTAAAAAGGCGTGGGTCGTGGGTAAAAAGGCGTGGGTCGTGGGTAAAAAGGCGTGGGTCGTGGGTAAAAAGGCGTGGGTCGTGGGTAAAAAGGCGTGGGTCGTGGGTAAAAAGGCGTGGGTTCCGAATAAAAAGGCGTGGGTTCCGAATAAAAAGGCGTGGGTTCCAAGCAAAATATTTCCATATATTTACCTTTCTCCCTTTGGAATGCGTGTTTTTTTTTCTACTGAGGCTTTCCCAAACTATGCCCAGATATGCATAGCTTAGAGCGCGTTAAGGCCGGGTTTTGATATCGGCAGATCGGTTTATAAATATTATAACCAAGTGTGGATGAAACAGTTCAACTTCAAGCCCCATATAGCTCAAATATTTGGACGTTGTAATCTTATAGACAGATAAATATTGTAATTCTTCAATAGGAAATAGTGCTGTCAAGCCTGTCATAAATAGCTAAATTCTGACATTCAGGGCTTCACTAATATGTTGATCCATGTTCTTACAGTAATAAGCGAGAAATTTCCACTTGGACAGTGTTAATTTAATGCAATGTCTGTTAATTTACTAGGGAAAAATAAAAGAAAGCATTTGAGAGATTTCACTTAAATACATACCATGATGTATACATACCAAGAAGTAGTGAATCTAGCTAGTGTCAAATTTATCATGATGTGATTTGTATTTTCTAATGTCAAACATATAAGTTACAAATATACAGTCACATAGTGACACATACAGTATTTTGTAACATTCATGCTTTGACTTATCTTTCAGTAGGCTTTTGTCGGATTATTTTACCGTAGGTTTGATAACAGAGAGTTATACTTCTACATATTTCTTGAGCATCAAGTTTCAGCGAAGTCAATGGCAAGTTGGAATTTGGAAATTTCACAGCGCTTATTTAATAACAGCCGGAGTAGCATTGTTTACATGCAAGGTTTGTTCCGTTTGTAGTTTGCGATATTTCAGAAATCGTTTAGGATAGACTTCAGCAGTTTTAAATAACAGCAACATTGGTTGTTGTTGTTTGAATGTTTACGACGATGTCGGTAATATCAACAACAAAATTACCGATATGGATATCGATGCATCACTATTTTGCAGACCGGCGATCTTCGAATTCTTTGTATAGTATATACATGAAAACCATATATAAGTCAAATGTCATATTATTTCATTAATTAAATGGTTAGCTATACTCCGCAGTTCCATATATAGCTTTGAAAACATATGATGCCATTGCCGGTTATAAAAATTTGACTATAATATCGAGTGGATAGTGCTACTCAGCTTTCGTACAAGTGGCCTTGAGCGATATTCTTATTGAAGAATTGCAGTAACTAATTTATCTGTCTATAAGATTATAACGTCCAAATATTTGAGTTATATGGGGCGTGAAGTTGAACTGTTTCATCCACACTTGGTTATAATATTCATAAACCGATCTGCCGATATCAAAAACCCGGCCTTAACGCGCTCTAAGCTATGCATATTTGGGCATAGTTTGGGAAAGCCTCAGAAGAAAAAAAAACACGCATTCCAAAGGAGAAAGGTAAATATATGGAAATATTTTGCTTGGAACCCACGACTTTTTATTCGGGACCCACGATTTTTTACCCACGACCCACGCCTTTTTACCCACGACCCACGCCTTTTTACCCACGACCCACGCCTTTTTACCCACGACCCACGCATTTTTACCCACGACCCACGCCTTTTTACCCACGACCCACGCCTTTTTACCCACGACTTACGACTTTTTACCCACGACCCACGACTTTTTACCCACGACCCACGACATTCTACCCACGACCCACGACATTCTACCCACGACCCACGACCCACGACTGTTAGCTAGTCCCGTTTAGATAATGAGTCGGGCTTTTGATGACTTCAATGAAGGGAAATTTTCAAAACAGCATTTGGACATGTTATCAAGTCGTCCAAACTTCGAAATTCAGTTGATGGTAAAGATTATAATTATGTGCTTATCTCCAAAAGTTTTCATAAGACTCGGAGTTGAGCAATTGAATACACAGCGTTGGAAAGTGAGGTATTTTTGTGTGTTAAATTTTGCCTAATTAGACCATTATTTCGCTGCAAAAAAATAAACAACAATTGTATTTTGGCCATGTCGTGATTTTTGGTTATGTTAATAATTTTGTACGACTTTTAAGGCATTCAATTGAAGTAATTCTGAGCCGTAAACATATTTTACTTCTTGGCCTATGAATCAAAATACGACTCGCTCGGACGTTTGTTGAGCGCAATAGTCGAAAAAGTTTCGTCCCAACTTTGATTTTTTTTGACCGGCTGGCCAAGACAACTTCTCATAAGGATTCGTTAAAAAAATACAAATTCAAGTTGAGCATTTCTTGATTTTCAACTGAAAAGATCAACTGTGGCTAAAATTAATTGTGAATTGTATTCTATCGAACGTGAATGATACGTGTACATCCGAAGAGTATTAAAAACCTTTCACGTCATGCTTATTGCGAAAGCAACCGTTTGTAAGCTTTCGCAAGCGTTTTGAGCAAAAACTCTAAAATATTACCTGAAAATACAATAGCAGAATCTACTAAATTATCGTATAACATCGGAATTTTACCCCCAATATCTATTTCTTCATCAAAACTTGACTACAAAACAGTCAAAACTTCCAGCTCAGTTTTCCTGCCATATTTATCCTTGCCATATAAGACAACGTCGCCATAGTAACCACAAAAACTTGTTACCAGTTCATTGCATCACACATCGATCGGTGCGCCTATAGCCGTTTCACCGCCCTCTATATAAGCGCCCTGCTACAGATTGATGCTTCGCGCGAACTGCAAATATTGGTGCCTAATATTTCTACATCATTGGTTTTCCCTATATGGAAGTGTTGCCTATATAAGGAATATGGTTACCTTAGCAACCGTACAGTGCATTTCTGCATAATTCATATTTTTAAAGGGAATTCGTTCATGCAAAGAGGTTTTTGTCGTTGTAAAATGTGTTTAAATATACGTATGGATAAATGTAATAATTTAATATGTACTCTGTATGTATTCCTTATGGTATTTAGAAGGTTAAAGCTAAGGTGAGTCCATTTACAGTGCTAATCTTTTTTATACATACAATGTTTCAAGATATATAAAAGCTGTTATCCACTTCCCCGTTTATAATGCGAAAATACAGGCAAACTGTTCTAGTTTTTTATCTGGTATTTTACGTGGAATTTGCCGAAGTGTTAATTGTAGTCATCGAAGACTACTAGGGAATGTTTCCTAGTAGTTTTTCGTCAGTGTAATTGCAATTGTGGTGGTCAGGTTAGGCTGACCTTTTTAATATTAATATTTGAATGCTGTTCTTAGGGTTTGTAATCCAAGTGAGTATATATATATACACATTTTAAGACCTGACCAGGAACGACTGTGAAAAATGCAGCACAATTAGGTCCTCTGGTAGGAATTGAACCTACGGCCCTGCGATTCCGGTGCAGCGCTCTAACCAACTGAGCTACAGAGGCCAGCTGTTGAGCTGTAACCGTAAGTTCATGTATATATAGGTGATCGGATGTGCAGGTTGTGATAAGATGGACTTCAATGATCTGGTTTTTTGCACTTCACTTGGTGGTATTAATATTTGAATGCTGTTCCCTATTAATATTTGAATGCTGTTCTATATATACATGAACTT